TGCGAACTGGTGACTTTGTAGTACAACTTTAGTACGCGGAGTATCTGGCGAGCTGGAAGATGAGAACTGGCGACTTTGTAGTACCTTTACTACGCGGCTGAGTCATCTCTAGTCTGTATTTTGCAAAATGCACGAACAACTTTTTTTTTTCTGCGAGACAGTTGACGGTGGTTGCTTCGCTTTCGCTCCATTGGTCGGGTCCAACTTGTTTTGTCAAAGAACATCGCAGCTCGGCGAATCAGCCTGCCACATGCCCATTTCCTATAGGTTTATTCGTTTGGAAACTTCCGCCGCCGGCTTGCCCGGGAACTACTTGTATATAAGTATAAAAATGAGTCAACTCATGTTGATAAAGACTCTGTATGCAGGTGTTGAACCTCAACTTGTTCTCATTGATTCTGAGAAAGATTGAAGAAAAAATAGCCAACCTGCTCACCTCAGGTCCCATTGGCCATCATGTGGCCATGATGCTTGCCTCTTCATCTTGCCTGCCTAACCGAGGCCTGAGACCAACAGCATCCAAAAGACCCCATGTGGTCTATATATCAGTTTGGTGAAAGAAACCCTCGCAAACACAATGGCAACCGGACCGGTTGAATTGATCAATTCTGTACAGAGCAACAAGAGACATAAAGAGCGTGTATGGTTTGCATGGCAATCCAACAGAACAAACACAACTCAGGAACTCAGGGGAAATGATTGGGCACAAGCTGCATTGTCGTCTCCACTTGCTGCCGCTTGAGAACAAACGAAAAATGAAAAGCACTCAGCAATGCTGCTCTGCATTGTGTAGACGTTCAACCTCTTATTCTAACTACTGTATAAACGTCTCACTGATCCACTCCCACCTGCATCAGCTGGCTGGTCAGGTGGAAGGATCTCCTTAGGACGTCAATAGACAAGTGACTTGTGATGTGAGAAGCTGGGATGTAGAAGATTCAGAATCTAGCTGCAACAAAGAATCATGAAAGAAAATGCATCCGGAGTAGTTCAAGATATATATATATATATGCAATTTCAGTTATATAGACCTTCCTCCCTTGCGGAGGATGGAAAGAAACAAACCTCCTTTCATTATAGACCCTTCGGATCAGGCTAGGTCGCAGCCAAAAAGCAATCCTTGGAATTCCAAGAAATGGTATGTTCGCCTCATGGGGCTTGTGAGATTCCGAATCTGTCTTCAAGTCCTCGGTGAAGAAACTGACAGTTTCACTGCATCAAACAACCAACTGTTTGAGAGAGGAAGTTTGCATCTACAAAATGGTTCCACTGCGTGAGGTTGTGTGAACTTCGAAAGAAAGGGGAAGTCTCAGCTCCTCAACTGGCACAAATAGACTCTCCTTAGTTGCAGGTTGGTAACTCCAGGCGGCGCATCCTCTTTCTTGCTTTTTGGTGCAAAATCTGTGCGAACAGATCCACCACTAGGCGCATTCTCCATGAATTCCTCAAGGGAATTGTTCGAGTCACTGAAAGCGATCTGTTGGGCTGACTGACTATGACTATGAATCAGACTTCATGCAACAAGCACAAAGCCAGAACAAGAGCTGCATTCTTAGCACGACAGCCACCAAGAAAAATTAGCCAAGACTTAGCTGGCGGGATGGGAGTCTCCTTCAAGGGCCCTCCGCTAACTGCTAGCACCGTCTCGGACCAGGTCCTCCACAGCACTCTTTGCTGTGTTGGAATGGATATCCGTGGACTTCTACACAAAAAGATGCCAGCAGGTTTCCAGTCTAAAGCAAACAGACTAAAGTGAAAGCAAGCTTCAGCCGTTGGGATGGGAGCCTCTACTGGTTCTGCAGCAACCTCTTTCTCAGTCTTGGCCAAAGGGTCCTCTACAGGACTCTTTCAGTAGGACCGGAATCCCCATCAAATGATTTCTCTGTTGACTCCTTGAAAAAACTCTTCACTTGACTGCAAAGCAGGTTGATGCTACTGGCCAAAGTTGGAAAAGGCTTTACAGCCACGACAACAGGATTCTTGACATGAAAGGCAAACCATTCTGAATAGACTTGATGAAGCTTGCCAGTCTAAAGCCGGGCCGAAACGAAGTCTTCCACACAAAAACCACAACTGAAACCAAGCTTCAGCTGGCGGG